TCTTAGGGTTGCCAAATTAAAGAGGTTCAAATTTACTTCTATATCTGAGTGTTTGATGTTGAAGTCATGCTCTTGAGTCAGCGTAAGTGGTTAGTTTTGGAGAAAATTAGGTATACGAGTACAAAAAATATCTAGAAATCATATGCAATAAGGCTGTTTAGAAGCTCCATTTTGATGACTGATAGCTCCAGGTGTCGCGAGCCTACTCAGATAAAATGGAGGCAGGAAGACAAGAAGAGAACATAGGTTGTAAGACGAACAGTTCTTAGGAAGGAATCTTAGCAGCACCAAAACCCAGAAATTAGGTAGGACAGGACTACTCAATACACAGCGGGTGCATGCAGCCCGCAGTGCAGTTTGAGTTTACGTGCGGGCTCAACACATGGCCCACAGATGGGATCCTTTGAACACGGCCTCCACTAGGAACAATGGCCAGGCGTCTCCCAGGCAGGGTGAGCACTGAAAAATGCAAGCGGATGGGCTGGCTGAAACAAACAGGTGTTGGTGTTTGTGGCCCCAGGGAGGAGGTGCCAGGAGCACCGGGGCACTGTGGGAAGCTCTGCTGCTTGTGGGCAGAATCTGAGAGGTACTGACTGGCTTACACTGGCCACGTTTGGGTCCGGCACAACAGCTTAAGGCTTAATCTTTGTATTCATGCCCGTCAAAGTGAAAGAAGCTATTTGCGTATACATTTCATATTTATGCAACCACACTTAAGTTGCAGCCCTCAGCATGTACTGAGAGTCTCATTGTGAACCCCCACCCCTGACCTTCGAAAGTTGAGTAGCCCTGAGGTAGGATTTGAATCTGTTGAATTCATGGTTAAAACCAAAGCCCAGGATTGGCTTTAAATTGGACTCTCCATGCCGTAGCTGTATGCGTAAGGCTGTATGAGAAAGGACACCTGCAACAAAAACGCCTCACTTGACAACTTGCACTTGAAAAACAAGTCACTTAAATCATATTCCTGCAAAGTCGAGTGATTCCTCTAACTGCAAAACTGTCCAATTTTTACCATCTGCTTCCTGATTTGTCTTGAGTTTTTGGTTTTGTGTTAAATGAACACACAAGCCTATACAGAATATTGTTTCAAAGAAAGTTTTGCTCGGTAAGAGGAAACAGCTTGCTCATTTCCTTTAATCTTTGGTTTAAAGAAACCACACATGTAAAATTTGCCTGTACATCTGTCACTGCTGGGAAGCTCATTTCCAAACTGCAGTTGTCCAGAACGTATACATTTAGGCTGTGTCCACACTCAGGGGTTTTTTCGAAAAAAGTAGCCTTTTTTCGAAAAAACTTCCCCTGCGTCCAGACTCAAGCCGCGTTCTTTCGAAATTAATTCGAAAGAACGCGGCTTTTCTTTCGATGGCGGTAAACCTCATTTCACGAGGAAGAACGCCTTCTTTCGAAAGTTCCTCTTTCGAAAGAAGGCGTTCTTCAATGTAAATAGGGCTTCTTCGAAAGAGAGCATCCAGACTCACTGGATGCTTTCTTTCGAAAAAGCAAGCCGCTTTTTCGAAATTTCTCCGTGCAGTCTAGACGCTCTCTTTCGAAAGAGGCTCTTTCGAAAGATGCTTTCGAAAGAGCCTCTTTCGAAAGAAGCCTGCAGTCTAGACACACCCTTAGTTATCCCTAATGCCAGAAAGACAAAACTGCTTTTAGGTTATCCTGAATGTTCTGTTACAACTTTCTTGATTCTATCCATTTGTCTCTCAAACTCTGCAGGCTTCCCTTGGCTTGGCTATCCCCTTCCATTGGTGCAACTTCAATGCCCAATATGCACACCTCCCTCACTCACACCAAAAAATCTGTATGCTCACATAGTAACTGATTTGTCTAATATTTTTCCATTAAAATGTTGCTCCTTCCTCCCCGGCCCCAAAATGATATCGCAATCAGATGCAGTGATTCTGCATTATTGTAGCATAGCAGGATACCATCACTGGCTTCCTGTAAATTTAATATTATTGTATACACAAAGGTCAACTGTTACTGTATTTTTCAGTAAATGTAGTCTAAGTATTGCTCATTAGAGTACACCCAGCCTACATACCAATAGTCAAGTCCATGGCACCCAAGTTTGTACTTAACAGGCAACCTTGAACTTGTTAAGTTTCCCAAATTTTGGCCCGATCCCAAAAGCTACAGAGCACCCACACCTGTTGTAGTCAATGGGGGTTACATGTGCTTAGCACCTGTCCGGAGCAAGTGCTGAAACACAAATATAGGTCAGGAAATATACTTAAGCTTGTATGATGTGTGCATTAAACCATGGGAAATAAAAGCATTCAGAAGTTTCCCCGGGCTTCTGAGTCCAAAACAACTATTTGATTAAGGTGGGAAGTTTTCAACAACTGAAAGGTAAGAGAAAAATATTAGTCACATAGACATAGACACATACACATACACACTAGATGTGAAGCTACCTTCTCCAGCTGAGAACGAAGAAAGGACAAGAATGTTTTATATAAGTCACATTTTTAATACTTTTTCCATGTTACAAACAATGTTAAAAAGTGTTAGAACTTTTAACAAAGGCAGTCATGGTACAGAATAAACATAATCTAGTCTCTGCCATAATCTGACTTTCATTGCTGCAGGTTCTTCACTGTATTTAAATCTTTCTAGCTAAACCCATAGTTGCATTTGTTCTGTATTGTCTTGCTATCTGCTAAACATCAGCTAATTAATACTGAAACTTGGAGTAGAGGTAGAAAGCTGTTCAAGTAAGACTTTTAAACTGAATCTTTTCCCATATATTTTCTCCTTGCCAGTGAAGGATAATCAGATAAGGAAGTAACTACCATCTGCAGCTATTGCTTCCTTGGGGCACGGAGGATACACTTTGCTATCTTCAAGTTCTTGTTCTTTTTATTCTATGCATTTCCCCACAAGTTGGTTTTTGAATCTATCATTCATTTCATGCTCAGTAAAGGACTTAATATTGGCTTGAAAAAGATGTAGGGATTGTTCAACATTTACACGAATGCTCCTGGTATTTGACTCCAATATGGTCAAGGGGCCTTAGCATAAATAATAATTCAGGCCAGCAGCACATATGCTTTCCCTTCATAACTCTCTCACAGCCTCCCCAATTGTAGCCCAAACCACACTCTGCCATTCCAGTCCTCCTGCAGTACAGGTTTCCAGTGGTATGGCTATTTTTAGATATAACAAGGTATTCAGGGCTAAATTCTTCCTGCCTAGGTGTGAGGGAGATCAGTTGCACATGGTGCCGGTAGCCTGTGTCAAAATCTGGAAGTGGGTGACAGGGGAGGGATCACGTGATTACCTGTTCTGTTCATTCCCTCTAGGGCACCTGGCATTGGGCACTGTTCAGAAGACAGGATATTAGGCTAGACGGCTCTTTGGTTTGACCCAGTATGGACATTGTTATGCATTGTGGGCCAGGAAACACAGGGAATGCTCTGAGAGAACCAACTGCAACTTCTCCACATAGAGAGAGTGGGCTCACAGAACTGAAAGACCACCACAACACAGCAAAGCACGTGTGGAGCCAGAAAAGAACCATGTTCCTGGCACATACCTTTGCCCAGCTGCTTTCTTGTCCCTCCCCAAGGAAGAAAGCTCAGCAAACAATGGGCAGCAAACACCTGAGCATGCTGCCCAAGAGAAGAAAGTCTTAATCAGAGCACAAAAGGACAGGCTTTCAGAGGTTGGGCCTGGCATTTTCTCTGGCTTCTTGGACTGAGGATGTAGCTTTTAAACCATCCCTTTCCATAGCTCTGCTAGCCGCCTCTCCCTCACACTATGCACTGCTATGGTGGGAAGGTTGTTACCTTTCTTAAACCCAAACCAGTTGGAAGCATTGTTCCCTTTATTCATCCTCTTCTCCATGCTGCAGAGGGACAAAATAGCTCTAAGAGAAGACACTTGCACCCTGATCTCAGGTCTCCAGAGGTAAAAGGTCTGTGCAGTAACAGAGTGCACTGCAGAACCTCATTTCCTAAAAACACTTTCATGCTATACGCCGATAATTTCAATTTCTCATTGGATTTGGTGATTGCCTTAATTGTTAATTATGTTTATGTGTAGTAAATGAAGACCAAGAAGGAAATGCACTTGCAAACAGGTAGGCCAGGTGTGCCAAAGAGGGCCAGGTTGGCAGACTGCCAGGATCCTGAGTGTTGTCTAATTTATACTCACTATCAAGTACCTAAACATACACAACCATTATATTAGAGGACACCTCTAGCTTTGTTGACATTCTGTGTTCCTTATTAATTGGCTTCGCAAGCAATGAAAACAAAGAGCCAGCTTAGGTTGTTCATCAGGATGTCAGAGCAGCATAAGTGTAGTCTGTTCTAAGATACAGAAAGGTGAAAGCAAAGGCTGCATTTTAGGTACCTATGTGCTGGGCAGTTTATGCCTACAAACTGAAACCACTGGACTGGCCAGATGTCTGTGTCTGTCTTCCTTCCACATCCTTTGCCAGCCTCAAAAGGAAATTCTCCAGATGCTACCATGAAAAGAAAAATGGTTTAACCTCCTCACTTCACAATCCAGTACTTTTTTTTTTTCAAGTCATCTCCTATCAAGTCTGCAAAATGCCAGCTTCACCAGGAAAGCAATGCTAAAAAGGAGACTGCAATCTGCGCTGAAAACAAAGCAAGCAAAGCCTGGGGCTAGGAGGCTCATTCCCCGTAAGAGGGGCAATATCAGGCAGCTTTCTCAAACACACATTAAGTCATGGTTGATAAGTATGTGGTTTTTGCAGCATCTGGAGCCAGTCCATCATGTCCTGCTACCAGTGTATGCCAATTGGTGCTCATTTACCTTTGCACATCTGAGATGGGGTGAGCTATTATTTCACAGCAATTATGCTTAGGAAGAAATTATTGCAGACTTGCTGTCAGAAAAGTACTTTTGCCTCTTTCAGAAAAGCAGTTTCTCCAACTCAATTTCTTGCAGTTTTTTTTATTTCATTCATTCTTTCTACCCCTTTGCCCACTTAGTGCTATTAAAAGGTACAACGTGAGTGATGTGATATCTTTTATTGAACCAACTTTCTCCAAGGTGCAATGTAAAGCAAAAATAAGTGTGCAGCACTCTGAGGTGTTCCAAAGAAGCCTCTCTCATGATTGGCTTGGGTGTCCTGACCACATGCTCAGTGACCATTGGATTTTTTCACCTTTCTCTGGAGCCCAAGAGGCCTGCTAGGATTGTCTGGGTATATTCCACCTAATCTTATTTCCATGCCATTGATGGCACCTCATGCCCACTGTTCTCTGCCTTTCCTGAGGACTAAAATGCTTGGGTCTAATCTGGGAGAAGTTTACAGTATGCCTACACTGCAATTACATACTCTCAACTGGCCCATGTCAGTTTGCACAGGATTTGGGTTAAGAGGCTCTTTAACTGCAGAATAGGTGTTCGCCCTTAAACTGCAGCCTGAGCTCTGGGACTCTCCCATGTTGTGGGATCCTCGAGTTCAGCCTTAGCCCAAATGTCTACACTTATTAAAGGCCCCTTAGCCCAAGACCTATAAGCCCGAGTCAGCTGGGACAAACCAGGCTCAAATTTTTAATTGTAATGTAGACATACTATATTATCACAGGCCATTGTGTGTATGTCAGACTAGACAATCTAATGGTACCTTCTGGCCTTACATTTCAAGATGTACACGAAAAAAATTAAGACCAATTGCCATGTTTTAAAGCAATTAGGTGCCAACATAAATAGAAGATAGTGGGATTTTCTGAAGTGTCCAGGCACTGAATTCCCATTGAAATCAAAGGGACATCAAGATTTACATCAATTAGGCACTTAGACACCTAATAGGTTCTCTCAAGTTCTTATCTGAAACTAAATAACTTTAAAAATCTGGTCCCTAGAATCAGTATCACAACCTCTTTCACTGGGGAGGGAGGTGTGGAAAAATGGGGCAGTACCGCTACAGCTGTGTGTCTGGCATCACTCTTGGGTTCCTCCAACAAAGAGTAAAAACCTTGTTGTAATGTCATTCATTTTTATTAAGAAGTCTGAAGCTATGTTTTATAAGCAGAATAAAGGGCAAGAATGCTTTGCAGCTCAACTTAAAAGAAAAGGCAGAGAGGAGGAAGAGGGAATAGCTGGGAGAGTTTTTTAGATTTTTGGCTGAAACAGAATAAGGTAAACTTAAGATCCAAACTATGGTTAGGATTAAGAACCACTCTCAAGCATAGTTTATAAACCAATGCAGATTAAGCTGTAATGATTCCCAAAGTTTTAAACTACTTGGGCTAAATTAAGGCATACCTTTCTCACTATTCTTGTTAGACCAAGTGTGGCTTCCAGAAAATCAGACTGGATGAGCCCCACTAGTAGACCCAGAAAGGGAAAAAGTATTCTTTGGGTGCAACCCTGCAACAACAAAAAGCATTACACATTCCTGATTCCACCCATCAGAACACATGACCATCCACATGTGTTTCTAGATACACCTTTGTGCGTATTAAACATCGGATATCAAAGGCAAGTAGAACTTGTATACTATGCCACAGTTCAACAGTAGTCAGCCTAGCTTGTGTGCACAGGGATGGACTACACTCTAGGTTGTTAATTGCCAAGATGTATTTATACCAAAGCCATTTCTGCACTCAGCTCTACCCCATCCAAAAAGATAGAACTCAACTGAGCTACAAGTGCGTTTGGTCTTCTCTGAACTACAAGTTCTGTCATGTTGGAGGAAACTAGGGCAGTAGTGCCCTTACTGTGGTCATGCGTATGGACATGGGATCAAACTGTATTATAACCATGTTACAGAATGGTATTACTGCTCTATAGACAGACTCCACTTCATGTAACTCACACGACTGAATTCGACATAGCATGCCAGAGAGCTCAATGTAACCCGCTGGTCTTTAGAGGGCAGTAACAGAATTCTATATCATAAAACTTCAGCTTGGTCACATCTACATAGACAAAACCATGCCATGTTGTAACATCTTCAGGGCAGTACCCCAACATGCTAAAATCCATAGTACAGACAAAGACTTTAAAAACTGTTGAACTGTTTTTTCTTTCTTTAATGTAGGAGGCTGTCATTATTACAAGGTCACCCTGTGCCGCACTTGGCAGTTGATTTAATGGAAAACTTAACAGTATTTTTGGCATTGGTTAATTAGTGCACAGTGCTATAGCTAGGAATGTACAAACTACATATGGTTAAGAGTAAAAAAAATATACAGCTATATTTAACACTTAAATTAAACACATTTTGCATACTAACAACCTTTTGTACATTCACTTTTAAACAATGGATTCTTTAATAAGCATAACTTTACAAGCTTTCCCCCCTACCTGCTGCTACTTGAGACTTAGGGAGGTGAAAATTTGGAGCCTTATTTAAAAATAGGCAGGTGTCTTACAACTATAATATGTCGCGATTTTTTCTTTCTGAAAACACATATCAGTTCAAAAACTGAACCACTGTAGCGGTTCCATAAAACCAGTCAGGTTTGTTTTTAAAAGGATACTTTGGTAGACAGCAAATCATTCTTAAATAACGCAGGAAAGATAAATTTCTTTTACCACCTCTATGCATGCTCTTCCTTGGCATGTTGTAGCAATCCCCATCTTTATGGATGAGCACGGCAGCAAGTCAGAGACCACTAGTTTGCCTGTAGTGACATCTCAAAAAGTGGATTATAAACCAGGTTCAATGTATTGCTAACACAATTCTCTGGTTATCACAGAGAAACAGCTACCTTTATTCCTTACAAAGTTAAAGTTGCAGCTGTATATGCCACACTACCACACTATTATACAAAATAGATGTTTCCCATATCTTTCTGGTCAGAAGAGCTCCAGATTTCTGCTGAGCCCTACATATTCAGGAACCCAGTAGGTTGTGCAGCATCAGAGCATTTTAGCAAATCAAGTGCCACTGGACCTCACTATACCACAATGATTGCTTCTGTACAGGTCATACAGATTTCAGATCAGATGTGACTCCCTGCATTCACTGGAGCCATACTTGTTTCCAGAGGACTGAATTCTCTCAACTTTGGGGCAGGAAAAATAAGCTAGACCTTTAGCGCACTTCCATCTCACATTATCCAATCCGTTCTGTTCCAGAATATTAGAGCCATCAAAAATCACACACAGGCACACAAAAGTGAGGTTGTTTGGATGCGTGTACAACTCTCCAGGAATAGATCAACACGCCAGTGTGTAATACTGTAGCTGAAAAGGAGAGAAATTTACTGAGGAACAAAGGCACTTGGTAACAGAAGATGAGAATGCATTCCATTAAACAATCAGTGAGTCAACAGTTTAAGTCTCGTGATCCAACTGACTAATAGTGAGGGCTCTGTGGAGGAAGATTTTGTGGGTGATGTAACTGAAAGTTTTTTAGCTCCTTCTTCCTGGAAAGGGATGGTTGCACTGTTATGGAGATCTGTGTTCACAAAGCACCTTCTGCCTCGGATGTAGTCTGCGCCCCTCACTAACTGCCTGTCAGCTCCTGGCCTTGCAAAATGTTGCTGCGAGGAGGAACTTTCTTCAATGATTGGGGGTATCCTCTCATTACTGAAGTACCTGCAGAGGACATCTTCACCTGCAGTAAAACAGAAGATGAAAATCATGTAGTTTTTGCCTCTGAAATCCACCATTAAATAACATTTTTGCATTTTTATAACTACTCAGAGGATATGAAGGCATGATACAAATATCAATTAAGGTATAAAGTGTGCTTATGAGGTGCCTGAATATTCTCATTTTACAGATGGTTAAAATGAAGTCCACAGAGGTTTTAAGTGACATTTCCAAGCTTAGACCATGAAGTCAGTGGCAAAACTGAGGAGTGATGGCATCTCATCACTTGTCCTATGAGTGCGCACACAGCCAACAAAAGGTACAAGTTGAACCTCTCTAATCCAGCATCCTCAGGACCTGACTGGTGCTGACCCAGAGAATTTGCCAAACCACGAGAGGTCAATATTGTCTAGCAGCATTACCAATATTTCTACTGCTTACTGGGCACTTAAAATATATTTGGGGGGTAAATTAGAGCTAAATAACAGCACAGAAAACAGAGCTGGCCTGGTGGCCATAAACAAACTTTATGGGACCACCATGATAAGTGGACAACTGGCTAACTAAAAGCATGCCAGATCACGGATATTGCTGGACCAGAGAGTGCTGGACTAGACAAGAGTCAACCTGTATTTTAGCAGAGATGACAAGTCTATTTGATACCTAAAACAAAACAATAAAATTGTTTAAACACTGTTCCATGCTTAAGTGGAAGACTCAAACAGGACAAAACTGCTCCAAAGCAATATTTCACACAGGTTAGCTCTATGGTGATGCATTTAGGTGACTGAAAAACATTTTCATACTGTTGAAAGACAAGTTGAACATGCACCTTCTCCGGAGCGATTCTATAACACTCTGACATCCACAGTCTTCTGTTTGGACATTGGAAATCAAATATTTCAAAGATATAAATGCAAGCTCTTTATTTCTGGTTGCACTTTTGTATTGTAGTTACTGCTCAGGTACATTTAAAAACCTGCTGAAATCTAAACAAAAAGCAGCCCTGCCACCTGCTGATCATTTTGTTAGATTGGCAACTCACTCAGTGTGCAGCCTTTTGCGAGCCACAAACCAGCTTCTCTATATTGCAATGGCCTTTCTTGGAAATGCACACAGACTTCTGTCAGTGACTTTAAGGACAGGTAACAAGTCAGCTTTTGTATTGTGCACAAATTTTTATACAATCCCCATCACTACAGCAGTCCATGAACTTTGGAGAAACAATAGGAATCATGCTAAACAAACACATGAACCAAAAGCTATTATCTCACACCAGTAGACTAAGTTTCTCTACCAGTCTTTGAACTCTCCTTTAGGAGCCTTCTAATTGACACCAAAGTGCCAAGCAGATCAAGGGCTCATGCGTAATCACTAATCAGTTTAGCCAGCATGTTAGAAAACTGGAATTTCTCCTTGCTTTGTTTAAAAAAAAAAAAAAAAATTGAGAAACACTGATGTAGAGAACGGGGTAAATGGGACATTAGCAACAAAAAACTAGGTCCAAATGCTAGAAGAGTCATGACGACCCAACTTCTGTTTAGGATTTCTTACATTGACATTTGCTGAGACTCACCGGCATTTCCAGAGAAAACATTTCTTGTCTGATCTCTGATGGGATAAATGTTGTCTATAGCATTCCAGGTTCTCTCTCCCTTCCCTTTGGCTTGGTCTTCTCTCCCAGTAATCCTCCCCCTTATCCCAGCCACTGTCTAAGCAGCAATGGACACAATCAGCAATTGTAATGAGAATAATTCCAGGAAAGCTCTACTTTGCTCTGATCGGAACTAGCTTGCTTCAAAACCAGCCCCTATTTCAGACAGAACAAAAGAGTTCTGACCAAGACACAGCTTAGCTCTCAACATTCATGGACTGGACGTGGGAGGGACAGGAGAGGGCATGTGTGAAACAGAACACCTGTTAGCAGAAACAAATACAATTATAGAGCTGCTGTAATTCTTCCAACCTACCTCAAATAGGTAAGTAAAGTGCCAGACAGAACAGCAAAGGTTTTGATCTCAATGCAAACTAACCCTGAGTTGTCTAACCACTGCTGAATGTGATAAATACTTATTGAATCACAGAAAGGTGAAATTGGTGCTGAACATTTGATGTGAAAACAGCAATCCCTTATTCCTGAATTTAAGATTTTTCTAAACAAGTCATCGCCCGAAGGAAGTTTTCGTTGTAATAGTCTTGCCTTTTCTCCCTGGTACACGTGGCCTCAATAAAGGATCTGCAGCTCCCAGCCAGCTCCCATCAGCAGGCATCGATAGAGGTCGAGGTTTTCCTAAGGGCAACACGGAGAAGGTTAATAGAGGAATATACTGTTTTGTTTAGAAGAATATTTTCACTGAGTGAACATTATCTCAGCTTCATTTATCTCATCACAGTATTGCAAGAACACACATTATGTCAAGACACTTTGCTTATAAAACAAGAAAGCATTGTGAACACATCTAACAGCCACACAAACTGCTCATCTCCAACTTTAGTAAAAATTATAACCAAAAGATACAACCAATGCACAAATGGGAAACCAAAATCTGATCTCGTCCAGTTGGGCTTTCATGCCAGTCATTAAAGTAATGACGCAACAGGGTTTCATTTTAGTGAAATAACTGGTTTCAAACTTAGAATTGTGTTGTTTGTTTTCCTCAGGCTACCTTCAAAATTTACCCACAAGTTAGAAACAGTGAGAAAAATCCACACCCACCCGAGCATATAAATCTTGAATAGCAACAATTAAAGAAGCATGAACTCACCATAAGACACTGTTTTTTCCCTCATCTTTGTTGGCAGGATATTTGCTTCCATGGGATACCCAGGCAACTGATCAGAATCAGCAATAGTAAACCTTCGCCTTCGACTTTCCTGGTCGAGGAAAGAATTAGGAGACTCTGCCCCCTTGGAGCCAGATAATGGCTGCTTATGTTTATTGCCTCCTCCATAAATGAGGCTCTCCTTTTCATCCCTGAAAGGACATTTGCCTCTATTAGCAATGTAAAAGGTATTTTAATACTGCAGTCATAAGTCCAAAACAATCATTCTAACTGTTAGTCGTGCTTCTTTCAACTGTCACTGCTGTGCAAGTTCTCAACAATTTATTTGCACAAAATGAGGCATGTTTAAGAGATGGAAAACTTCATGAACATATTAGCAAAGAGGAAAAGAAAAAAGAAAAAGAAAAATTTAGTGATGCGCTAGTAATGTGACACAGTTAAAACTTACAGGTTTTCTTTTAGAAACCTACAAACAAAACTTTAGGGACCAGAACTGAAAGTTTTATCATGTAGACAGCAGGGACCTTATCCTCTAACGGTCACACATACAGAGCAGATGAAGTACTTCGGATGCTATAGTTCTCTTGTGAATGCATTAAAATTCTTTGAAGGGAAAAATGCAGGTTAAAATAATGGCATTCTTAAAGTTTTTTTCAGGGCGAGCATCCCTATTTGGGAGGTTTGGCATTTCAGTCAAGACAAATCACATTAGCCACTGGGGATGTATCATCTTCTTTTCCCACTTGAAGTCTGATTCTCTTAGAGTTTTTAATTATATAAAGTATTTCAATTAGAATTTTACATGTTTCTGCATGAAATTCCCTTCCTAGAGGATCATTTGTTCATGAAAGCCAGGAGCATTGTTTAATTCTAAAACTTCCCCAAAACACACATCACCCTATAACTGTGATTTGACCCACTTTTCACACCCACTATAATATGACCATCTGAGTCAATGAAACTGACAGCTGGCTTTGAGTACATATGCACCTCAGGATCTACCACTCCCTTTCATATGATTCCAGGCCTATCCAGACCCCCATAAGGCCCGATAGCCTCTCCTCCCCACAAATACAGACATATCTATGGCGATTCAGAGACAGAGCCACACAGAACTGCAGCAAGGATCTAGCCTCCAGAGAGCTCACCAATGGCACCACCACATGCAAGAGGCAACTGAGCCAGGTTGGGCAAATGCCCATGGTTCTCTTCATTCTAAGGGTTGGGGAGAGAAGTGACAACACCGTAAAAAATATAATAGGAAGTGGGCACCCTCTCTCCTCCTCCTAGCTGCCAAAAGCTCCCCATGCTTACTTCCTTAAGAGAACAAAACAAACACATCATTATCTACTTCCTTTTCCTGACCCCTCAAGGAGGGGTTTCCAAGTTTTATAAACCCCCATCCCCTAACTCCAACTCCATCCTTTCAATCACTCAGTGTGCAGGCAGTTGGGCTTAGATTTGCTTTTCTGGTTCTAAGAAACTTTCCTGGGGCTTTTTAAAAGCACTGAACAGGCTCATAGTAAAAACCATTTAAAAATTCTATTCAAAACATATTTAGTCTGACAAAGTTTACAACTAAAAACCAATGTTTTAAAAACTGGGCATCTCAGACTGTTAAATACTTACTTATTGCATATTTATGTACAAGAGATGTGACTTCCGGAAGTGCTGCACCCTCAAGCTTCTCAGGAAATGATCCCACGGGAAAGTAGGTAGGTTAGATCACCAATGTTTTGGAAAAAACCTAAAGCTGATCTCAACCACCTGATCGATTCATCACTCTCTCTCTCTTTCATTTGACAGTCTGAATTTTATTATGGATTTAGATCTTTAGATGACAAAAATACAGCCTGCCAACTGACACTCTTACTCTGCTTAGACTACTCCTGAGTTTTAGGATTCTTCATGTCTAACAAATTTGAAAAGGTTCTTTTCTATCAAACTGCTTCCAAGCAGTTACTGAAGTGGATAAGAACAGAACATTGGAAAAAAACATTTAATGAAAAGATTATCTATTTTTGTTATTCAGTGGTTTTTCACATGCTAAAATGGTACCCACTAATGCTTTTTTGGGAACAGCTCTGTGTAGCACAGAGTGATTTTGCAAATCTATACACAACTGTTTTCTCCAACAATAAGAAGTACTGTTATATTCTTAGTGGCTTATGCATTTACTAAGCCCAGAGAAAATCTGTAAGGTCTGCAAGTTCCTCAAGAAGCTTGCAAAACTCTATGCAAGTTAAGCCAGCACAGAGAAGTCTGTGATAATAAAATGGAACTTTTTGTACGAGTAGTGCATGCGTATTTGCATACCGAGGAGAATATGGAACAGCTGGTGGTGGAGGTATATAGAGGTCCAGGATGGCTGGCTTCTCTTTCTTTATTGAGGTGTCCATGGTGCTTTCTGGAGACTGAGTTGTAGTTGGTGGAGGACTGGTCTGAAATTAAAGCAATACAACAATTGTAAGACATTTTTCCAATTATCTTCTCCAACATCTCCTACACACACCAGAAGAAGCCAATCCAATGACCACTTACTGTATTTTACCCATTCTGGAATTTATCATCTCAATAGAGAGATCAATGTGCATACAGACCTGACTCTAGAAGTTATTGCCGATGTAGGGACTGCGATGGATAACTTCAGCACACTACAGAAATACTCATGAACCCCTAATCTGGAAACACCCATGGTACAGACCCTAGCAGGTGGAGAAGGAAGAAGCTCTGTACACTGCTGCTCCCCTTTGCCCCAGAGGGGGGACATGGTAGTGCAGCAACTTGTTTTTTCTGAGGCTTTTTCCTGCTAGGCTCCCATAGCAGTGGAGAGTATGGAGCCACTCGTGCCCCTGGGAGAGGGACGCTAGGTACGTGCCCCACCCCGATCCCCCTCTCACACAGACTCTGCAGCACCTTTGCTGACCCAGCAAATTCTGTCATCTGGTATATCTTTTGTTTCCTAGACAAAAGTCTCAAGTTCCAGCATGCTGGGCATGCACACGCCTACTCGAAGAACACACCCAAGCTAACAGGTCTTCGTTTCACAAGACAGGCTGGGGGAGGAGCCAGACAGTCTCAAGAGTTTCCTAAGCTTTGAAGTGAACTTAACTTCTGGTCGTCTGTCAGACTTTGGATTTGAGGTCATTCAGGAGAAGCTTCAAATTCTCTTTTCTCGTTTACTGGGAAGAAGGCAAATGAGGGATAGTTCTTCTTATAGCCTGTCATCAGAGCACTCAAGTGCCTGGAATGGAGGGTGCGCTAGAGAAAAGATGTGTGTGTGTGGTGGTAGGAGGGCGGGGGGAGGAGGTAAGTTTTGGACACTGGTACAGAGTTTGAATACTGGACACATTCATTTATTAAAAATGTGTATATGCATACAGACCTTTGGATGGTCATGGTTTAAATGTCTCTGTCATATAAACAGGGTATGTGTTGTAAAGCATGTAAAATAATGCTGCTCAAAGTGCACAGGTGTAACCTAGCAATTTCATTAGCGAATAGCAGGAAATTGTGATTTATAGTTTTCTGAGGCATGCATACACACACACTCAAGCACTCCAGCTAGCCATCTACACACTTTGCTGAGAAACAATTACCCCCATAGCTATAGGAATCCTGTGCCAAAACAGAGGCTGGAACAAAGGAAAAAACTGTCCTGATATTCACAGGTAATTTATTGTATTAGAAGGTTATTAATGTAACTAGCTATTAAACAACTTACTTTCTGCTATAACATGCTTTCCTCCAAAGTAAGTCTTTAAGGGCACGTCTAGACTACGTTTTATTTTCGAAAGAGAATATGCAAATTTTGTGGGAATTTGCATACCTTCTTCTGATCACTTTTTTGAAAGTGGGTCTTTTGAAAGTTAAAGTAGTCTGGACACAGTTTTTTTCGGGAAAAAAACCCCTTTTTCAAAAAATCATGTAAACCTCCTTTTTAAAGAAGAGCGGAGCGGAATTTGCATATCCTCTTTCGAAAATAAAATGTAGTCTAGACATACCCTAAAAGTTATCAACCCCTGGTCCTCCTCCACCCATTGTCCTTCCTCTGGCTTTCTGAATATTCAAGTCACGCTTACATATAACATTTGAATTTATATGCAATACAACCAAGATGCTCACCACCTTTTCTTTTGGTGTTGGAACTATTTTTTTCCTCTGCTGACGAAAAAGGATGCATACAGTGGATAGAATTAATTTATTCAGCCAAAATCTCAAATTAGTTCTCCAAACCAACCAATCTCAATATTTATTGCTTGCTTACAAAATTCACCAGTGCAGATTCTCAGCCTTTCATCCTCAAATGGCTCTCTGCTAAAATCAGTGTCTTGAAAAATTGGATTATGAAAGCCAACAAATACTTTTATTCTTTTGGAAGGGATTATTTTATTTTAAAAAAGGGACCCCTTCTCATTTTCACTTTGATTCCAAAAGGAACAGCCACTTCACAATGACCACCCCCCAAAACTCCATAGATATATGGTCACATTGGCTGTTCACATCAAATATTAAAGAATAAACTATTGTGGGTGGTTTAAGGTAATTTATATGCAGCCATTAATGTCCAGTAGCCTATCACCTGTACAAGTGGGGGTTTCCAGCGTAGGTTCTTCAGTGGTGCAGGAGTAAAATTAAAAGAGCCTGTAGGACGTTTCTTAAGTAGCAGTTTAACTCCAGCAGGATTTTCTCGCAACTTTCCCACAAGGTTTTTTAGTTGCCATCCCACCTTAAAAAGAATAAAAGGTACCTTTTACATGCATTCAGAATAAATGGAATATAACTAGGTCATACTGTTTCTCTCCAACATCAAACATGAACACACAAAAATAGAAGAAACCCACTGAAACAGCTATACAGGATATAAAGCGTGAAACACTCATTTTAATTCTTTAGGAGGTCTCTCAAAAATGTAAGACAATTTCAAGTGCACATCCCTTTGTGATAGGTCAGGCTCCAGTCCAGCATGGATTTATGCATATGCTTAATTTAGAACACATGAGCATTTATACTGAATTACTCCAGTATAAATTACATCTAGTAATTTAATGCCATTGAGCTCTAAACTTCACACACAAGAGGAGGCCAAGTGCAAACGTAACTATTTATGGGACTGGGTGCTAAAATGGGTGGAATCCTTGAACCTTTTGAGGGCAAAAAGGTATTTACCCAAACTCACTCTCTCTCTGTGTGTGTGTGTGTGTGTGTGTGTGCGCGCGCGCACCATTTTATCCAAAAAACATGGCAAAAATTTATTGAAAAACAATTTTATCCAAAAACATGGCAAAAATTTATTGAAAAACAATCTGTATGATAAAAATCAAATCTTTCATGTGCTTTCAGTTGAAGAAATTATTTCTACATTAAACCCAAACTTTTTTTTTGCCTACACATTACAATAAGGACAAAAAAACCCTCCAAGCACAGTAAAGTTTGTTACCCACTTACTGCCTTGAAGGGAAAAGTCTTGCAAAACAATCATGTCTTAGGAAAAGGTTGATAGGGCTTTTAATTACTTACTACAGTCTGACGATTAACCTGGATCACTTCATCGCCAGCATGAATCTTCTGAGATCGATCAGCAGGGGACTACAGAGAGATAAATAAGAGGCAAGTGTTTTGATTCACTTTTTCTTAAAAAAAAAAAAAAAAAAAAACAAACCCACACCCTCTGCTCTTTTAAGCCATAATTCAAGTAATATTTAAAACAGTAATATTTAAAACAGCAGCAGCAGGTGTGTGTATATATAATTATATTAATACATAGAACTGTCAAGTGTGCATTATGTCCTCAGTACCCACATGGCTAAGTCATTTGCTGAATCGGGAGCTATGATTAGCAGCCTTCTGTTAAGTGACAAAGCAATAGTCCATAGTTATTAGAATCAGTTTGGTCATCAAGTAACTCAGAGGTCCTCATCCTGCAAACACTACCAAGCATAGCACTAGTCCCATTGCTGCATACATGACACTCGGGGAGTCCTTGCAAGGATTATAGCAGAATCCCATCTCAAAAGTGAGAAACAGATAAGAAAAATAGGATATTTGAGATTGATAAAAACTATACACATCATAGGGTCAGGAGAAGTCAAGATACAGTTGGAATCATTGTACATGTTATCTGTGGGTATGAGTATGGGTGTAGGTAATGGAAAAATTTACCAGAATAGCATTTCTCTGTGGTTAATATTGGACATGGAAGGAATTTTCTGAAAAAATGTTTTTTCACAGGAAATATCAACTTATCAAAACATCACGTTTTTGCAGGAATGTATCATTTTTGACAGAATTGTCATCGGGGACAGCTGCTCTGGTATTGAATGTAATTGTTGGTCTAAATCAGAGTTTCAAACAAATCCCTGCTCTGCCCAGTTCAAACCAGACACTTGAACATCAGTCTCCCACATCCAAGCAGAATTCCCTAACTACTAGGCTATTCTAGGGGTGACAGTGAATCTCAATGTCTCTTGTTGGATCTGTTGAGCTTTGTATAAATATTCAGCTTTACCAGGAGTGGTGGATACACACCCCGCCCCAGACTCCAGAATAGCACCGCTACTTAGGACACTCAGGAAGACTCAGAGAGAGTGATGCTCAAGTGTCTGGTATGAATCAGGCAGAGCAAGGACTTAAGTATGTGTCCCCCATATTCTAAATGTGTGTCCTATTCAAGGAGGAGCAGCATACCCTCTTGTTTTTGGGAACATCTCTGAAAGATCTGATTCATCCCAATGTATATCAGGAACATATCTGATAATTTCAAATTGTTCATGGAAAACACTGAGCTCCAGTTAATATACACTCATCTGTGCCGATTACTTATCCTTGCCTCACACCAAGGAAATCCCACTCACACAAGCACCAGTCAATTGTCTCAGATACTTCAGTTTAGGTGTTCTAGAGCCTGTGATAACTAAGGGTACATCTAGACTACAAGCCTCTTTCGAAAGACAGAGTCTAGACTACAAGCAGATTTTTTTGAAAAAAGCGAGCCGCTTTTTCGAAAGAATCTAGATGCTCTTTCGAAAAAGCAGTTTGCATTCAATAGCGCCTTTTTTCGAAAGTACTTTCGAAAAAAGGCGCTATTGAATGCAAACTGCTTTTTCGAAAGAGACTGCCAATTTCCTTTCGAAAGAACGCAGCTACAGTCTAGACGCAGGTGAAGTTTTTTCAAAAGAAGGCTACTTTGTTCGAAAAAACCCTGTAGTCTAGACACACCCTAACTGATTTGCTCTTAGCTACCAGCAGTAGAGCAACAGAAACAAACTTAAGTAAAGAAAAAATGGCAATTATGGTTTTGAGTTTGGGGAAGAGTTTTCTTCTGTGCTATGAAAATCCAGGAACAGGAACTAAAAAGCATCACAAATTGTTTGGCTGTAGAGGGATGGAATAGTTAACTGCATTGCAAACAGTTTTTAAATCTATGCTATTTTGAAACTGACTTAAAAATAAAATTTCTATTCAAATTACACTGAATCCAAGGTTTTAGAAGACAAAACAGCTTTGAATAGGATAATAAAAGATTAAGCATCTCCTATAAAGAAACAACACAGGCACTGTTAGTTATGTTGCCATTTGTTATAACTTACTCTAAACTCAGTAACTAGATTACATTTACTGTGTTTGTTTAAATCTCAATTACTGAAGATATACAAGACAGAGGACTAAAGTGCAGCGGGGACCATTTCATTTTTCCTCACTGCTTACTAATCTAAATGGAAGCTGCAGGTTTTAACTTGAAGTCCTTAATTTAGTCATTTAATCCAAATGCCTGCATCAAGAAAATCCACTAATTCTATTTAAGTAAAAGGAGAATACTGTCTCTGTGCATGATATGCGCTGAGAGATGTGTGTGTTTTTAAAAACATTTAAAAATTAATTTCCTCCCAAAACAGACAATATGCTTAGCTAGACATTAACAAGCAGCCATTAGACATGTAAATATTTACTTTGAGTTATCTAAAGCTGGTGCCATGCACAGGTTACTGATACAGTTATTTAAAAATATTTCTGCTACCATAACAACATATCAACTCTGAGAAGCCCTGGCAATATAGGCAGAACCGAGATACACTAATAGATGTGCCCACAATGCAATTCACATAGGGAGGGCTACTCGTAGAGCAAAAGCCTCACTCTCTCCCCAGAGAACAACATGGATAGCAGGACAGTTCTGTTGAGCTCCTGAAGAACTGAAAGTCTGGATGGAAGTTTATTTCTCCATCACCAGACATGTGCGTGTGCGTGTGTTTTCTGTTGTGGGGGGGAAGAACACCGTCCAAGCCAAGGCGAATGACATCTTTTGGCCTCTGAGTATGTTTATGGGAATCATTTTAGGGCAGTGGTCTCCAACCGTTTTAACCACAAGATCACTTTTTCAATTTAAGTGCAACGTAAGATCTACCTCAAACCCAAATACCCTTGCCCTGCTTCCATTTCCGCCCCATCTTTAAGGCCCTTCCCCTGCTCCACCCTTTCTCTGAGGTCTCACCCTACTCACTCCATCCCCCACCCTCATTCGCTTTCACTAGGCTGGGGTAGAGGGTGGGGGTGCAGACTCTGGTCTTGAGCCAAGGAGTTTGGATGTGGGAGGGGCCCCAGGCTTAGCCCAGGGTGGGAGATCAGGGTCCAGAAGGGGTTTCAAGGTGCAAGCTCTGGAAAGGGGTTTGAGTACAGAGGAACTCATGTGAGGGGAAGGAGGTTGGGTGTACAAGGAGGTTCAGGGCGAGGACAGTCAAAGACCAAAAGTAACAACCTTTGCCAGCAGAAAAAGTAGTAACAACCCCCCACGTATGTGTTGGGTTGGGAGATGAGAGTGAAGGACAGTGGTTGTGTGTTTGTAAGAATGATAGAAACACAAACAGTGTATGAGAGTGACAGAGATTTTCATTGCCAAGCTCCCTCTGTCCCCTTCTCTCTGTGTGGAGATAGGGTACAGGAATGGGGGAAGGAGGGATACCCTGACATCAGCACCCTCCCCCCTTCTCCCTCCCAAACCCTGCACAGCAAGCAGGAGGCTCTCCGGGGGGCAGCTCCAAGGCAGAGGGCAGGAGCAGCATGACAGTGGGTGGAGGGGCAACTGAAGGGCCAGTGCGTTAGTTTCCTAGCCAAACCAGTCAGGATCACCTGTCAGAGGCTCCAAGATCTACGGGATTCCACACAAGTCAGATCTGGGACCAGTACTATTTAATACCTTCATTCATGACATGGATAATGGAACAGAGTGTGTGATAAAATTAAAAAAGATCTGTAGAAGATATTAAAGGGTTGCAAGAACTTTGGAGGACAGGATTAGATTTCAAAACTACCTTGACAAATTAGAGAATTGGTCTGATTCTGCACTTTTTTGAATTTCATCTCAAAGAATTCAAAAGTACAATGATTAGGAAGAAAAAACCCAAATGAGTACCTATAAAATGAGGACTAACTGGCTAAGTAGTAGTACTTCCAAAAAAGATGTGGGAGTTATAGTGGATCACAAACTGAATGAGTCTCAATAACGAGATGCAGTGGTGAAAAGGCTAATATTCTGTGATGTTCTAATAGGAACATCACCCACAAGACTCAAGAGGTATTTATCTGACTCTGCTCAGCACTGGTGCAGCTTCCACTGGAGTACTGTGTATAGTTATGGGTGCCACACTTTAGGAAAGATGAGAAATAAATTGGAAGGAGTCCACACAACAGCAACAAAAAATGATAAAAGGTTTGGAAAATTTGACCTATGAGGAAAGGTTAAAAAAAGTGTGCCTGCTTAGTCTTGAGAAAAGAATACTGAAGGGGGATCTGATATGTTAATATGTTACGGGCTGCTCCATTGTTCTCCATCTCCACTAAAGGTAGGTCAAGTAATAGGCTTAATCTCCTCTAGCAGCTAATCATACTTGTAAGGGAAATTAAGATCTTGGTCAGACTTCCAAGGGAAGTTGTGAAATCCCCAGTCTAAGTTTGCTTGGTTCTACCTCAGTACAGGGGGCTGTACTTGATGATCTCTCAAGGTGCCTTCCAACCCTACATTTCTGTGATTCTATGATTCATTAAAAAGCAAGCACTGAATTCAGAGCATCATGCAGGATGAACAACAATAGCGTGCTTGAGAGATCTCAGACAATACTTATGTGCCCAATTTCAACTCACAAGGCAATCATTCCACTTACATGGAGAACATGGAAGAAAGTGGAAAATTTTGTTTTGGCCATTGTGCTCTCATGCAACATAGGAAGTCACGAATAGGCAGGAAGACCTTGGAAATCCTGTCAACTGACTGAAATTAGACAGTGTATTGCTTTCCTGGAAACACTCATGGTGCTTGGTGCAACATTAGAATTCTGATAATAGCCATCTGGCAACAGTTTCATTCACATATGTCAGAAATAATTTTTGAATCGTAAATAAAAAGCAGATACTACTTTTATCAGAAAGGAAGTGTGTAGCCTGATATAAATTATATCTTTTGTTATCAGAAAGAAAGGTGGGAGGAGAAAGTGAGTGACCAGTTACTGCTAGTAAATCTCTCAATCTCCTAGCTGATGTTATTTCTCCATTGAAAATGTAGTTTTCCTGAGAGACGAATGGGTAGTTACAGATTCACTGGGCTTCAGAGTTTTGTTTTATGGTTGTAGCACAGTCTCAGTCAGACCTTTCAGTCTTTGTTTCAACTATCTATATAACTTAGTAGTGACCAATGTTACAATCGTTCACATCTGTCAAATGTTGACGTTTCTTTAGACTTAGTCTTTCAACAGATGGTGAACCAGTTATGCTAAGACTAAGATGAAATAAGAGTAAGAGTGGCAAATATAAATGATTACTGTATTCACAATACATGCAAATTAATTTAACAGCATCAGTTTAGGATTAAACAAAGACTGTGAATGGCTAGCCAAGTACAAAAGCAGTTTCTCCTCTCTTGGTGTTCACACCTCCACATCAGCTGCTAGAAGTGGGCCTCACCCTCCTTGACTGAATTAACCTTGTTATCTCTAGCCTTATTCTGGACTGCATATATACCTGCCTCTGGAAATTTCCGCTACATCAGTGGTCCCCGACGTGGTGCCCGCGGGTGCCATGGCACCCGCTGGGGCATTTATGTGCACCCGCCACATGATCTGGGCCAGCCACGCCTCCAGCGCACAGCACATGCGCGGCCCCCGCCCCCGGGCATGCAGCACATGTGTGGCCCCTCCCCCGGGCACGCGGCAGCCCCAAAAGTTTGGGGACCACTGCGCTACATGCATCTGATGAAGTGGGTCTTTGTCCACAAATGCTTATGCTCCAATACATCTGTTAGTCTATAAGGTGACACAGGGCTCCTTGTCGTTTTGCAGATCCAGACTAACACGGCTACCCCTCTGATACCATGCAAATTAAGGTTTTCCTATAGCAGGGGGGAAGGGTGTCCATCTTGTGACCTCTAAGTCACCTACATCAGGTTCATTGGCTACATCTGCAGGTATTTCAAGAGCCACTTTTTCTTTGGTTTCTGAGTTGCTGTTCCCATAGGCCTTCCTAAAGTTCCAACATGTTCTTGGTAGCAATGTGAGTAGGGGACCTGGAGAGCAATGTATATGATGACAGGATGGTGCTGGCTATGCTTAACATTGTCAAGGACAGTTAGCTCCACAAACAGAGGCTGTGTGTTCTGGCCACAGGACACAAGCCACACAACCAGCAAATAGGCTTAACTCCATCTGGCAAAATGGACCGTTTCTTGTGCTTAGAATTTAAGAGTAGAAGCTTGTCTTGCTTCAAAGCCCTGTGGCAGACTACAGCCTGTGAACTGCAAATATCTTATAAAAGGCAGCTATATTGGGAGGTGGGTTAATGCCTTCTTGTTTCCCAATTAGACTCACATGAATATAGCCTGACAATCAGGGCAGACAATGGAGGCCTAAGTAGGAGTCGGCCTACAACAGGGGTTAATTAAGCACCTGTTGCTAGTTAAGGCCTCCAGGTCCCTCTGGTTTCCTCCCAGGCAGCAGGGGGGAGAGTTTTGAAAGGTGCAGAGCAGGGAAGGGCCAATCCACAAGGTAAAAGGTGAAAGATAATAGAAGGAAGTGATGAGTGAAGTGGCCTAGGTGAGCAGTATTAGAGTAGGGCAAGAAGCCCTGCCAGCCGCCCCTTCTGTAGGACCTCTGGGCCGGAATCCAGTGGAGTGGGCGGGCCTGGACTCCCACCCCCCTTCTCTTGAAGGATTACCCTGCCGGGGAGACGGGAACAGACCAAAGGCCAGGAAAAAGGGGGTTTATCTTTTCTTCCCCTCTACTGAGGACTTGTCTGTGATGAGAGTGACTCAGTAAGCAAGGACCCTTGCCTCTGGCAAAGTCCCAAGGCAACGAAGAAGTCACCATGAGTCTCTGAGGCACACAAGAAAACGTCAAGAAGCGCAGAACCCATGGGGAGCTAATAAGGGTATTTGTCACAGCCCATTCAAAAAGTTTTTCACCTGAAGTATCATTGTTTCATAACCCCACGATGTATGATAGCTACTTAGGTCTCCAACCCATATTTAAGGATGGCTATCATTCAATAAAATCCACGTGCTGCAGAGAATTTTGGTGGCTTATAGACATTGGGGAACACAAACTCTCCGATACTCTTTGCAATGATGGCAGACTTTCCAGCGCTCATCTCCCAAATGTTGCCAGTTTGTATTTTAGAAAGTATTGGCTCCCTACTACATGTTATTCTGAAAGCCTACACTTTTTCATTACATGGTAAGTGTCGCTCTTGTTAAGTGCTTTGGCATAACCAATGCTATTAACATGGCAATCAGATGATGACATCACAGTCTAAAAAGCAACTCAAGTGGCAATCAAGTGAAACTGCCCTCTCTCAGGGTCATCACCAAAAGGGAAACATAGAATCATACCCAGATGCATGCCAGCACCATGTAGAAAGTAACCAAGCTATTTTAACAACATAAGATGAACGTCTTTATGTTATTCCATTACAACATATACATATGCATAATCTTTACTAAGCCAGAATAAACCAATGGTGTATCACACAAAGTTACACGCAATAGGATTATGAGAGCAATACATGGCAGAAACAAAAACCTCAGGAATCTGCCTAAACATAGTTACAACCAGAACAGTTAAAATTAAAAAGGCATTTACTTCAAATTGAATTAAATGTACTTACATTTTCTGTAGTTCCAGTAATTACATGCAATCCATCATAAGTTGATTTGATATACATTCCCTAATGTGGGGGGGAAAAAAGGGAAATTCAAATACTCAAATTTAAGAAAGGCAGTGCCAAAAATAAAAGCTTTCATACTACTTATATAACAAGTTAAGGAACATCTTACAACAAACTTCTTAAGACTCACTCTGTGTAAAAAAATCAAATACATGAAAACGTATGGACTCACATTTGTAAGTAGTGTAATCTACAGGTTGAAACTCTCTAGTCCAGCACCCTTAGGACCTGAGTAGCTCCGAACGAGATAATTTTCTGGACCAGGGAAGGTGAGTATTGTCTAGCAGCATTACCAATACTTGCACTGCTTAGTGGGCTGTTAGAGGATATTTGGGGTAAGTTAGAGCTCAACAGCAACACAGAGCACAGAGCACAGAGCAGGGACTGGTGACTGTAAACAAACTTTATGGGACCTCAGGAAACTTGACCACACCCAAGAAAAGTGGACATCCAGCTAACTAAAACCATTCCGGACTATGGATGTTTCTAGTCCAGGTTGAACCTCTCTAGTCCAGAACTCTCTGTAGTATCCATGTGCTACATGTTCCTCTTCCTGAATTCTTCAGCACCCAGGATTTATTTGTCATACCAATTAGAATTTTATACTCCACCCTTTGTAGATAACTTTTAAAGTATTTATTTTTAAATAGTGTAACTTAACTACTTTCTAACTTCGATAATTCTGGAAAATTTTTAATTCATTTAATCCCTTGCATGAGAAGCACCTCCTCCTCACAAATTTGCCACAAATATTCTACAGACAATCAAACAGAAATAATCCCAGTTGTTAATGCAAGCCATCTGGTAACATTACAAGTGCTGGTTTCAACCAGGACCTCAAGCAAACCACACGCTAGCACTGCTTTACTATACTACTGGGTGTGGCTACAAAGAAAAATGCAAATGAAGTACGGCTGATTGTGTGGATTCTCTAACACACCATCTACAAACTAATACTAGCATTTTAAATTACCAAGGATAGACTATTGTAGCATAGGAGACTTGTATATCTACTCTAATAAAAGTTTTCCTTCTCAATAGGTTGTTTTGAAAATTACTTCTGTGTTTTTTAGCTGTGCAGTTCCATGCAAATATTAAGTGCTATTTATGTGCCAGGAATTACCACCCAGCACTCAGACTTATCCTCCCCAGCCTCTCCTCTCCCCCCTACCCTGCCCTTTACACACACCCTCATACTTGGATGCACAAGTTACCATGTTGCTATTCTGTGAATAAACTTATTTGATACTCAGACCTCACTGAAGACGATGCCATAGTTCTGGGACATGGTTAGTTCATTTGTACCCCTTCTGTTAATCCTGGAATGAGGTAGCTCAAAACACTGTACTTTCTCCATAATAGCACCCAACACAGTTTTATAAAAACTGCTCAACCAACAATTTTTCTTACTTCTTCATAGTTTTAAAACTTAAATGAATCTGAAATAATTTCAAATAAATATTCAAGCAAATTAAATGTGAACCACCTCCTCTCTAGCCAGAAAGGTGCCATCTTCCAATTTTTTGTAAATGCCATTCAACTGAATGGAACATCAAAAGGAGCAGCCACATACAGCAGTGCTAGGTCCTGCTAGTGAAATGACATGATATGCAGTGGATGAGCAACATTTTCACTACATACTCATGCTAAAAACAAACCCCAAAGTTACCCCATGCCCCTCCAAAACTATTGATCAAAAACCCTGCAGAAGTACAGACCAAAATAAATCCTTCAGAAAGTCTCTATGTGTGGTAGATATAGGTGACCAGCAAAGGTAAGGCACCACTTCTGTTCACTTACTTTGGTGAATACCACCAACAGCCTCTCAAAAATACCTTAAACACACACCCATTCGCCCCCCCTTTCGCCCCCCCATTGGCTCCCACTTCAGCACACACCCTCCTGTGTCTTTACAAATAAGAGACTGAACCTGCAGAGGGTTTTACCAATGAGTTAAGTAACTTCCAGACTGAACCTTGCTGATTTTAATGGGAGTAATCAATATCATAGATGTAACAGCCTGTAAGACCAGGCACCAACAACACAGACACAGAATCCCACTTGCAGAGTAACCACAGGAGCAGATACAGCTGAGTTCTTACCAGGCCTTCCCCAGGTTTAATGTTGGTTAAATGAACCTCCTCTAGACATGCACTCTGGCTCAACAATGGATCTGTGGTTGATCTGATCATCTTATCACAAATTCCATTTAAAATCTTAGACTGAAAAGAAACAAAAATTCATTATGAAAGCCACATTCTAGAATTCCTCTCCCACCCATTTTTTCAATAAATAGAAACTATTTAATTGTAAAATCTGGTCCATTAAGAAAGGTTGATACGAGTGTTAGAAGAATGTGAGAACATTCAGACAATTCTCCTCTATGGTCTTATCTACCTTAGAATTTTGGATACCATTTAGTAAACGTTTGAACGAACGAACACACACACACACACACACACACACACACACACACACACACCCTGCTATTAAAGGTTTTATACTAAACCTACCGCTATCTCCACTCCACCAGTGGCAGAATGGGACAACTAATGTAGATAAAGTACCTGGAAAAAAGGCAACAACAAAGCTTTTGCAAAACTTTAAGTCTATATTGTTCTGGCATTTTTATCATGAAATCCAGAATATCTGACTCTCTCTATTGCCAACAACTGCACATGTTTAAACACAGTTATTTAGATCTGCTTAGGGTTAATCAGCATGGTGCTAAAGAACCCAAATGGTTAGTACTCCACACATCAAGCTTTTCAGAGCTCAACATTTAAAAATTAGCATCAATTATCTCCTTTGTACCTGTTGCTGGAATCCTTATATAGGATTCTTAAATTTACATGTGCTTGTTAACCAGAATACATCCAATCCCAAACCAATATCATTTCTAAAGACAAACTCTGACCATAAACACACACACACATATATATATGTAACTCCTAATGAAGTAAGAAGAAGTCAGGCTTATGTATTAGAAGGGAGTAATCGGTTTTTTACGGTCTAAAGTTTCAACAGGAAAAATGACTGTTTAATCAGAGACAACGTAATGGTCAAAACATCTATTTTTCTCACATACACTCAAACTTCCATTATACACTATAATGTTTAAATTAATACGTAGACAGAAAAACAGAGGCCTTAAAATGTTCAAGACACTATTTAGTTGTCACTGGTAGTGAAAATGTAATATAGCTCACCTGAGAAAGGAGTGCGAAGGGCACTTGGACATATTTACTAACTTGGTGGAGATGTGCGTAATTAAGGAGTTACACAAAAATTCAGCCTTGTATAAAAATAGCTCTGCTCAAATCACAATGGGCACAGGGTAAAATATTCTCAAGGCTTTTTATTCTAAACCAGATTTATAGAACTACAATAATGTCATTTAAATAAATTTAAACAACGCCTAAGCATGAATACGAGGAACTGCTAAAACAAGGTAATTCCAACCAACAGTGCGTATATCGGAGGGAGTGTGGAAAAATGAGAAACTGAAAACTCCTATTTGCTTGGTTTCCTTAGTTATGGACAAAATTATTTTTAGCTATTGTACTACTGAATGCCTGAGCATCTATCAGCTAACGGAAGGCCTTATCAAAGAACACAGCCTGGCTCATGTCAAAAGCAGGAAGCGATGATTAACTGTTACAAAATATTAAAAGCATTTTCATTACATCCCACTGTTGGTCACAAGATTGCTTCAAAACAATTTTGAAAACTTAGAGCTTTCAAAATGAAGTATAATTAGACATAGATGGCTCTAGTTCGATAAGCAGAACATAGTGCCTTTACAAGACCAAAAAAAACATTATTTATTAAATAATGCTGTGGATCATAGACATTTTTGCTTTTCTTGGTCTAATATCCCCTTACATTCCTTCCCTGCCTCTTAAAATCTGAGCCAGGAATTGATCTTGAAGAAATACCTATGCAATATAACCTTAAGATTGTCTACTGTATATCGCAGTGCTGAGTTACACACCATAAAAATTCACCACCATCCCTTCTGAAAGAACAACAAATGATAAAAAACAGTCTACAATTGGATTTTGCTTACACGATACATATCAATTTTGTCAGTTTGATTAATCAAGAAGTCATGGAAATAAATGGGAATACCAGTAGCTGAGCTGAAACTGAAATGCATACTTACTACATGCAGAACTTTATCTTCCATTTCAGCCATAGTGCAATCCTAAAAAGAGAAAACAAGCACTAAATTAAAAGAATTGTGTAATAAGACTAGGTTCCAAAACACTGAAATACATCTGCCCCTGACCTCAAGCCGAAAGGGCAGTATCCATGGAGCAAGGATTTATCAGACAATCGCCTCGCCATCTATGGATCAAACCTACCACTGGACAACAATTTTCTGATACCCAGTATGAAAAGGAACTATAGACCTTCAAAATGTTAACTACAACCCTTTAGTTACTGCAGAAAAAATTTCCAGGAAAAATGAGTTATGCACAAATAAAGATGTAATTTCATAATGTAAACTATACAAACTTGTTTTAGACACTACAAATACTGAGCCAGCTATTACCATATTCAACATTTCAAAATGGATAAAAAATACTGGTTAAAAATAACTTCAAAAGTGCTTTTAAAATATGCACTTATGGCATTCATGAAAGCAAGAGAACAGCACACAAAGCATATTTACACACACCAGGTACAAAAGACTTTGAACTGAAAAGAGTTCATTTAGTAGATTACAGAAGAGATCATTGTTCTTTGAAAAACACAGTCAAACTGGAACACACTAATAGATTCTCAAGCAAAAAGAAAGGTAAAAAAGGTTGAACTATGGGTACAGTTGTAAATATTTATCAGTTACTTAAGAAACCTTCATGATAGAACGTTATTTTCTCAAAAAATAACAAAACATTAGAAAATACAAAATTAAGGTTGTATTTGGGGGAGGGAGGTATAAATGCAAATAAACCTCAACGTTATATTGGAGAGAGACTGAAACATTACAAACTTTGTCTGAACTACCTTAATTCTGACCCACATTGCACCAGCCTTCCAAGCTGCACAACTGTAACACCTTCATTATGAAAAGACTGAAACATGTGAATAAAGAGATTTCCTGAAGGAGAATTTGCTGAAAACTAAGTATTCACCGTCTGCATATTAAAGATTTAAGATATTTGCAGTCTGCTGACTTTATCCACTTTGCCTGAGAATCAAAGAATTCAGCACTACTTGGGGTTTTTGTACATAAACATACATGTTATTAAAGTGAGAGCTCAATACCCTGAGGCCTTTCCATTAAGTTAATTTTAGGCGTCATTTCTGATGGGTTAACGCCATAGCACATGCATCTATATATCAAGTCTGACCTAATACTCCAAATACTTTTAAGACTTGTCCTGAAAGTTGCTCCAAAGCCAGTCACTTTTAGTAACCAGACAGAAACTTCACTTTTTCTGGTGACACAGTGTAGGCACATGAAACACAAAGCATAGGCACTGACTCTTAGGGATGCTCAGGGGCTAGAGCATCAAAGGAAAAAAAATAGTGGGTGCTCAGCACCTACCAACCACAGCAGTTTGGCAGTGCACTCAATCAGCTATTCAGAGGTGCCACCATACAGCTGCTCAGCAGCTATCATCAAACAACTATTTAGGGGCTCAGGGAGAGACTTGGGGGAGAGGGCGGAGAGCAACAAGAGGACGGAAGCTTCAGGAAAGAGGTGTGGTGGGAAGAAATGGAGCAAAGGCAGGACCTTATGGGAGAAGGGTGAAGTGCAGCAGGGCTTCAGGCAGAGAAGCACTGAGATGGATAAGTGATAGGTTTTAATAAAATATTGTGGAAGTCAGACTAGCTGGAACCAGAAGCAGGAAGGAAAGATAGCTCTTCCAGTCACCTGTTGCAGCTACTCTTCTCTCCCCAGGTGTTGTTTGGGTTGCTACTTTATTTATTAAAATAAGTTACCACGTTGATTCTAACTAAAGTTAACAAGGAAGCTTGCAGGTTTTCAAATTCAAAGCAGCTATTCCAGGGCCTAACCCAACTCTTACTAAAGTTAATGAAAACACTAATAGACTTTACACAGGAGCTGGATCAGACACACAGATAAGCACTAATGAAAAGTCATAAAATTAACTAGACAAAAATCTCAACTGCAGAAGAATAAAGCAAGCAAAGCTGGTAGCAGCCAGTATGCACCTGCTCATTATCACGTGTATAGGTACTATAAGCATATGTTTTCCTCAGTAACAAGTTGCACATAACTAGAGTGCAGTTACTTCCCCAGCCACCCACCTTCCTTCCTTTTTGGAGAGGTGAGAATAAAAGCAGGGGGGTCGGAGGGAGGAGGAGGAGAGGGAAAAAGGCAACTGACCTTCTGAACCGTGGTGGTAAGATCCAAGCAGAGCTGAATGATTCTGTTCTTTGTCACAGAGAAGTCTGCAATCCCTGTAAATGGGGCCCTGTAACAAAACAAAATCCCCATAGGATAAAGAACCCTCTTGGCTCCCAACTCTGGCTGCTAATGGGCACCGCATGTAGATTTACGCAGTTGCAGGTCAGGTAGTTCCTGCACATCTCAGGTTTGCTATCACATTAACAATGTAAAAATGTCACCTGAATAACATACCAGCAGTAAACAGACTAAAGTGCCTTTGAACACAAGTGCACCAATAGGGTTAATAACTACTCTTATAACAAGTGTATTCTCTACCATGAAAAATATCTCAGCCATGATCAGTCTCTGCAATGGCTGCTAACTTTTTAAGCACTGTTTACAAAGATCTGAAGTCCAAATCAGACCTATACAAGGTGATTATGCCCTCTTTTAAAAGGACACAACTGTACTGAGCTGTTGAGGGGCCACTTTAGCCCCAACCTGCTATTTTACGACAGGGAGGGAGGGGGAAGGGGAAAGTTCCAAAAAACTGAGTGGGCTCAACGTTGGGCAATTCAGCCATCTCGCTGCTGGGGCTGAGAACAGCAGATAGGAAAACTGGTGGGGCCTGGCAGCGATCAGAGGAAAGGGAAGGATCAAGTGAGAAGACCATGCTCCTGCCAGGAAACACCACCTGACAGTGACAGGAGGGCCAGTCATGGGATAACAGCTCTTCCTCCCCATGATCTCTTTTGACCTCCCTCTCCACAAGCTGGATCCTTAAGAAAGCTGGCACCATGCAAGAGAATTTGCAATAATCTCTTATCCTGTCCAAGCATCACTGCTGGGACACTATCTGCTCAGCTGCCTGTTTGTTTCCGCAGCAGCTGTCACAGAGACACCTTCCCCCGAGTAAGGAAAAGCAAAAAAGCGTCTTTTGCTGCCTGTCTTTCTCCACATGCAGAAGAGAGCAAATTCAATCAAAAATTAAAGCCACGTTAACCAACGGCTATCTTTTAAGAAGTCATTTTGTGTGAGAGTGGAAGAGCACACTGTATCTGTATAGAGGTTTGAGGGGAGTCAGGGAGAGTGGAAATTTACTTCAAAGCCCTATCTGTACTCTAGGGAAATCTGAAAGGAAAAGGTGTGTGTGTTTGGGGGGGGGGGTTTCCCACCCCTCTAAACACCAGATCCACTGATTTTAGCAATATCACACCATGCCCCATAGCCACCAGCATCCTGGCAATTCAACTTGCTAATTACAGACATCCTAAAACTTAAATAAAATGGTGGTCTGGGTAGGAACAAAGAGGCTTTTACATCCAAACATGACTCTACAAGCTGCCTTTGCAAACAGGAATAATTCATTTCACTAACACAAACGACCATGTAGACTTTTTTTTTTTTTTAAAGAGTATCAATCACATACCTGTCCAACCATGCTAGCAAGGCTTTAGCAGCACCAATGAGCTCCACCACAGAGGTGAGGAATTCATTGGGGGGTTTGCGTGAGATTTTTCCATCATAATTTGAATTTTTCCTCCGGCTGTTGATATAATTCTGCAGGTTATTGGAAGAAGCTCGCAATTTGAGAACCAAGTTCTTCATATTGTCTGTTTCAAGGCCATAATTCTGCAAGAAAAAGATTTTTTTTAAATAGCTTTGTATGCGTATATAGAAAGTCCATCTAAGCTAATTGCCCCACAAAACAGACTAAATGGGATGGAGAATACAGAAACGTGCCTATAAGAGTCTCTCTCGACAAAAGAAAAGTTGCTTGGGAAAAAGTAACATGATAAAACTAGACACCACTGGACAACCAGCTCTGTAAAATGCAGTCTTTGATCTATATTAGGCATTTGGAAGTATGATATTAATCCTAGTCATCCTCAATGCTCTTAACTCCTAGAAAATGCAGGAAGTCCCCAAAACCTATTGTGGGTGACCAGGTAACTTGTTTTTTGGAAAGCAGGGGGAGGTACTGTCCACATGCATGAAGTAGAAAAGCTGTCCATTGATTTCTGAACATTCAGATGTAGCAGGTTTCCATTTCCAGCTGCAGAATGCCACGCAGACAAACCCATCAGAAATTACCTCACTGAAGGCCTGACTTTACTATGTGACAAATCTCAAATTTTCACCAAAGTCATTGTGAGTTGAAGGAACTCAGAATATTAGGGCCGAGAGTCCCACCATATCATTTGATTCATACTGGAACACAAGAGTACTGATTGCATTTTTCTCCCATTAAAGGGAACAGAAGTCTGGCTGCTCCCAATACTATGGTGGAAAACCAGAGGCAGCACAACTACGTTCCATTCACCACAAAAGTAAGGGGGAACTTTAAGTCTGCTGGAGGACAAACATTGAGCCACCAGGAAATAGACACAAATTTAAATGTTATACTAGGGTTTTGACTATGGAATTATAATCAGATTTAATTGTTTC